GTCTAGAGAGGTTAACCTTTTATTCGACTGATTTGTTTGTTAGATAGATAGATAGATAGATAGATAGATAGATAGATAGATAGATAGATATGAAGAGATTGAGATAGATAGATAGATAGATAGATAGATAGATAGATAGATATCTCTATATTTCTGAGATGAGGTATTATGTACACTATTTACATTATTCGGACTATTGTCCTCATCTTTGTCGCCATATTTATTACAACTTTTTGGCCGTTGTACTCTCCGGCCTTCTTCAGGTGGTTGGAATGTCGAACTGAACCCTTATTTCGCTCACTGGGGTAGACTGTTCTAGTTCCACGTGCCATGTCTAATGAATGTCACTTATCAGTTATCTCCTGTTAATTTCCCTCTGAAAGTTTTCCACTGACCGGGTATTGAACTCAAGCTCTTTGGGTTCTGTCACTGGATCTAACTAATGCCTTTATCCACTGTGCCATGTGTCCATGAGATATGAAGAGACTGAGATAGATAGATAGATAGATAGATAGATAGATAAATAGATGATAAATAGACACCTGATATGATAGAGAATAGATAGATAGATAGATAGATAGATAGATAGATAGATAGATAGATATGAAGAGACTGAGATAGATAGATAGATAGATAGATAGATAGATAGATAGATAGATATGAAGAGACTGAGATAGATAGATAGATAGATAGATAGATAGATAGATAGATAGATAGAGAGAAAGAGAGAGAGAGAGATTTTTTTTAATCATTTCTCCCCAAGCAAGGCAATAAAGCCACTTGGGTGCAAGTGGTTACTGAGCGTCAGTAGATTTAAGAAAAAACTACTAATGATCGAGAAGAGGAATTAAGAAGACAGAAGATAACGCTTGACATTACATTTACATTTTTGCAGATCCAAGTTGGAAGAGAGTTCCACAAGTGAGAAATCCGATAATGAAAAATGTTAGCACAGAACTTACGGTTGCCTCAAGCCATTTCAACTATAAAATGATGAGACCTTACCGCCAATCTAGTACTGCGCTTATATACATAAAGTCTAGGTACCATAGCGGAAAGCTCACCAGAACAATTACCATAAAAGTATTTATAGAAAAGACACAGGGAAGGTACCTTGCGCCGGTGGGAAAGAGACTAAAGCTGAGATGCTAGGTCAGGACCAATAACATTGCAGATTCTGCTTTGGATTTTATCAAGAATCTCGCTCTGTCTATATAGTAGCAACACCAGACAAGATGCGACAGCAATATTCAAAGACAGGACGAATGGTAGACTTATAAATATGTAAGATCGATTCTGTCAATAAAATTTGTCTAGCACAACACAGTAAACCAACTTTCTTCGCTGCAGACTAAGAAATTAATTCAATCTACTCTTTCCACTTCATGTCAACTGTAAACGTTATTTCGAGAAGATGCAATGAACCACTCGCCTGGAGGTGAGCATCAGTCATACTGAGGGAAGCTAACAAGGCTTATCTCGGTTTATTAATAGAAAGAAGGTTCGATTGGAAATATTAAAATGAAGAAGCCACTCCTTGCCCAATTTAACAACAGATTGTAGGTCTTATTTTTTAATTTTTTTTTTTAGATCAGCTGCCAATTTGACCTTATCAAAGCGATCAAACTTAATAACTAAGACAGGATTATATACTTGTGTCATCCGTATAGATGCCGAGTTGCCATCAGAAAACTCACTGATGATTAAGAAGAACGTAGGTCCACGGATCGAGCCCTAGGGAACACTTGCATTAATGTAAAAAGATCTAGAAGAATGGCCATTCGAGACAACTCTCATTTCGTGATTTTATAAGAAAGACTGAATCATTTAAAAAAAATTGTCCATAACGTTTCGACCTGTGAAGAAGACCAGTTTACCAAAACCTGTCAAAGGCTTTCGAGATATCCAAAGCAACAGCCTGAGCTTCACAATTCATATCTAAAGTTTGATAAACTCTTTCAGCAATAGCCGTTAATACACCCCTGGTCAAAATCCTAAGACCATATACAAAAGGGTTAAAAATATATATATATATATATAAAATATATAAAATACTGTTACTTTAATCAAAATATATTTGCGAAACATTTACATTTATTTAGAAAATGTAGTGTTATGGGACCTTACCCATGATAACATAATGGACTATTCCATACGTAATAAATACTGCGCCTCAAGAGGAAGCAGGGAGTTCAGTCTGAAGTCTCGAGTGAGGTCCGTCAGAAGTCCGTCAGGAGTCACTCAGTCGAATCAGAGTCAGTCGCGTTCAGACAAGTGCTACTAAACCTGATTGTTTGTACTAACACATTCTACCTCTCTGTATATATTGCTGTTTGTAATATATCTGTGTTATTCCATATCCGTGTTCGAGTTCTTCTTTATTGGTTCTACCTTGGACTATCACCGTGGTACAAGGAACCGGACCATAACATGTAGTTTATCAACAAACAAGTGAACATTTTAAGCTTTTAATTGATTAATTTAAACAAACAATTGAAAAAAATTTTTTGTTTGATATAAAGAGATAATCATATCATAAAAAAAAAAAAATCCTATTTGACATAAAATTTTAGAACTAGTCATGTTCTCATAGTTTCAGGTTTTAGACATGTATGTAGCTCATTTCCAGTATTAAATTTCTTTTTAAAAAATGGCTATTTTAAAAAATTTTTAACAAAAGTTCGAACAGGGCAGGATTTTAATAAAAAGACGTGGTCTTACGGAACGAACCATTCCAAATGAAATTGGACGTACAAAACTGAAAATTGCAAACTTCATTAAAAATCCGGATGCGTATGCTTCTAAAATATCAAGCGGTCGCCCCAATAATACCTCACCATCTCTAGACAGACGCATTAGGCGAGAAGTTAAGAGAGATTCCAGCCTAACGTCAAATCAGATAAAATTGAATACAGATGCTGAATGCAGCTCTCGAACAATTCGACAGCATTTAAATAAGAAAGGGTATAAGAACTTAAAAACGTCTGCAGAACTTCCTTCTTTTTTTAAAACCTCCTTTTTTAATTTTTTTCCGATTATCAAACTTGGGAAAAATGATAAACGGAAGAAAGTTTTGTTTTCAGATGAAAAAAATCATTCTTAATGGCCCAGACGGTTTTCAAAATTACTGGTACAAAAAAAGATGTCCAAAAAAAGAAATTTTCTCAAAACAGACACCTGGAGGTGGATCAATTATGGTCTGGGGTTTAATTTTCGTACAATGGAACTCAGTTAAAAGTTACAAAACATAAAAAAAATTTTCAAACTTTTTTAGTTACATTGACATGGTAAAAAGGCATCGAAATTTCAAAAATTTTTCGTCTATGTGGAAAAAACAAACAATTGAACATTTTAAGCTTTTAATTGATTAATTTTTTTCAAATTCAATTGAAAAAAAGATTTTCTTGTTGAATGAATTCATTAAGATAGGACTATGTAAATAAAAATAGCAAATACAGAACAATGAAGCCATAACATTTATAATTTTTTATATCCTCCATTTTTTACGAATTTTTCAAAATTCACTTTCGCATACTCATTTTCTTTTATGCACGATCTTCTGAATAGAATAATTTAAACGAAATTTAAAATGAACGATAATAATTAGGACAAGAACAACACATATTGAAGATTCGCAAGCGGCGGGTAGAAATTTCATCAACATGTTACAAATTTGAAATTGAATTCCACAATGATTCTCCATCTGCAGACCAACATACAGTATTTACTACTGTATTTATGTGAATGGGGACATACCCAGTTTATCGTCGTTTATTTTTTGCTACAACAAATAGATAGATAGATAGATAGATAGATAGATAGATAAAAATAGATAAAATAGATATCTTGAACAGATTCAAAAAGATAGATAGATAGATAGATATTAGATAGATAGATCAAGATAGATAGAAATGGAACAGATAAAATAGATAGATAGATAGATAGATAGATAATATGAACAGATAGAACATAGAAATAGATAGTATAGATGGATAGATAGATATGAACAGATTTAAATAGATGTTTATAGATAATAGATAGATGAAGATAGAACGTTTTTTTCAGATAGATAGATATGAACAGATTCAGATAGATAGATAGATGATAGATAATAGATAGATAAATATATATATATGTGAATAGAAAAAATAGATAGATAGATAGATAGATAGATAGATAGATAGATTTGAACATTTCAGATAGATAGATAGATAGATAGATAGATAGATAGATAGATAGATAGATAAATATTTAACAGATTTTATAGATAGAATGAATAGATATAGATAGATAGATAACAACAGATTTATATTTAAATAGATAGATAGATAGATAGATAGATAGATAGATATGAACAGATATATAGATAGATAGATAGATAGATAGATAGATAAATTGATAAGAACAATAATGGTTAATACAAAATACAGGCACACATGCATATTTTGAAATAAAAATTCCACAATATACATCCACTTCTAATGAAAGACAAATACAATCCAGTTGAATATGAATTTAATTTTAGACTATTATAAGAAAAAAATCTTATTTGAATGCTGAAATTATTTTTTAAGTGTTGTTAAATAAAAACGTCACTTGTGTTCCTCTGAATAAACAAAAGAAAATTTTCAATGATCTTTAATCTTCAATGGATATTTATTGATCAACTGGTCGAAAAAGGAAATAAAAAAATGAATATATATTCATGCATTTATTAATTTTTTTTTTATTTATATAAATTATTCGGGCGAGTATCCTAGTTCTTTTTTTTTTTTTTGAAGAGATTTTTAAAAGATAATTCTTATAATAGGAATTAAACAATGAATAAAATGTATTTGAAAGTCAGTCTGATTGAGAAAAATCGACAAACCATAGAATGGCTTGAAAATAATATAACCGATTGTCGCAACATCAACGGTGTCAAAATGCGGTAGACGAGGTAATAAATTTGCATAGATAAATAGATATGAACAGATTTAGGTAGATAGATAGATAGATAGTTATGAAAAGATTCCAATAGATAGATATGAACAGATTTTGATAGATAGATAGATAGATAGATAGATAGATAGATAGATAGATATGAACAGATTTTGATTGATAGATAGATAGATAGATAGATAGATAGATAGATAGATATGAATAGATTCAAATAGATAGATAGTTATGAACATATTCAAATAGATAGATAGATAGATAGATAGATATGAACAGATTTTGATAGATAGATAATGAACAGATTTTGATAGATAGATATGAATAGATTCAAATAGATAGATAGTTATGAACAGATTCTGATAGATAGCCTGTCTATATTTCTGAGATGAAACATTTATTGTACAGTATTTACATTAGTCGGACTATTGTCCTCATCTTTGTCGCCATATTTGTCACAATGTTTCGGCCGTTGTACAGAAAAAAAGGAAAGGTGGTTGGAATTTCGAACTGAACCCTTCATTTCGATCACTGGGTTAGACTGTTCTAGTTAACACGTGCCATGTTTGATGGATGTCAGTTATCAGTTATCTCCTGCTAATTTTCCCTCTGAAAGTTCTCCACTGCCTTAATCAGGTATTGAACTCACATTCTTTGGGTCTGTCACTGGATCTAACCAACGCCTTTATCCACTGTGCCATGTGTCCTTGAGGACATCTGGGTATGAACTTCTGGTATTATAAACCCTAATGTTTTCAAAAACCATATTTTTTACCAGTGCTCATATTGCAATTTTGCTGTTATCATTGCATGTTTTTACCAGAGTTCATATTGCAACTTTGTTGTTCATTGCTTTTCTCTGGCACTCCTTATTACTGGTTTTATATTGTATTTATTTCTATGCTTGGTCGGCTCAGGAGATTTTTGTGGCCTAGCATATGTGTTGATTCCTTAAGTTTACGAATTTTCCAATGGTGTTCTTTGTCTATGATCTCAACATGATTCCAATTTTGGGTGGTGATCTCCTTTCTCTCCATATGTGGTCAATATGCCTGATTTTTTCACTTCCCTCGTGTTACAGCTTTCTGGTGTTCTTGAAGCCTTGTCTTAAAAGGTGACCCTCCACAGAGGAGAACAAAAACTAAAGACTGATGTGTACAAATATCCCTTTTTGGCAATAGTGTTTCTTATTGGAAATTTTAGAAATTTTGTCTTTGTTTATACATTCAGAATTTTCAAAAAAATTCCATTTTATTTTACAATTGTTTATAATAAAATTATTAATTCTATTCAATCGGGGACTCATCATAACGATTGAAAACAAATGTTTTTGTTTGAGTTTGGGTAAAACGTTTTTCGTAAAAAAAAAAAAAAAAGGTTAAAACATGCGTGTCCGTCAACCTAAATTTTAATCTAACGATCTCTACTGATTGTATGAATCGAAAAATCGGATAATTCTTTATATCACAAGGAAAAGATAATGGAAACGTTTTTGAGAATATTTTTAAATTAAATTTGCAATTTTGTTACATCAGATCAATAAGGCATTGGTTCTATAGAAAATTAATTCAATATTTAAAAAGAAAGTATTTTAGAAATAATTTAAAAATATATATATAATAAATATGATAGACAAAAAAACAACAATATTTTTAAAGATTATAATTATTAAGGAAAGAACACAGTACAATTAATAAATTAATAAACCCAAATAAAGTTAATATTTTTTTGTATTAGAAACAATTTAAGTGAAAATATATTCAAATCAGAATTCTAATTATGAATCACCAAAAGCAAAATATGCAATTTTTTTACTGTATTCAATAAGTAAAAAATGTTAAAAATTGTAAAAAAACATTACAGAGATCGAAAGGCTTTTACATGTTTTTTCATTGATTTCAACAAAACTTCACTTTTTTTTTTTTGGCAGGTATTGTTTCTTATTGTCTAAACACATTTTTTTTTTTTTTTTTACATTCAGAATGCTTTAAAAAATCCATTTACAAGACAATTGTTTATAATAAAATTCTATTCGAAAAATCGATAGACTCATAACGATTGTAAACAATGTTTTTGTTTGATTTGGGTTTGACCAATTCAAAAAAAAAAAAAAAAAAAAAAAAGAAAATGCGTGTCATCAATTTAAACAATAATTCCAATAAAATTTTATTTTTCAGTCTTTATGATGGTCGAAACTTGATCTATCTATAATTGTTACAAATAGTGATATATACTGGGCTATATATATATATATATATATATAGATAGATAGTTATGAATACATTCTAATAGATAGATATCGAAAAGATTTAGATAGATAAATATAAAATGTAATGAAAAGATTTTTGATAGATAGTGAGAAAGATATGATAGATAATAGATAAATAGATAAATAGATATTAGATAGATTCAAATAAAAAGCTAGATTGATTGATTGTACATAATATAACAGATCGTCAAAAAATCAATGCGGTGGACGAGGTAATAAAGAAAAAATGGGATAATTTCAAATCTGACAACGCTAAAGACAAAATCCACTTTATGGATGTAATTAAATTCACTGATCCGTTTCCTTAAAAACATTTTAATGCAATTGAAATGAACACACAGTTTTGTCTTCCATTCTGATTGAAGAGATTGACGATTCGAGCAATTTTGTAATGACGTTGACTTCTATGTTCACTTTTATATTTACACACCTCTACCTCTGATATTGAGCACTTTTATTTATAAATATAGCACATCTTAAGACTATATTTTATATATATATATATATATATATATATATATATATATATATATATATATATATATATAAACAAATATGTGAATTCCATTTTCACATCACCATAGGGATAATTTATTAAAATTTAAATAATATGGATTTTTTGTTTCCTGTTATTTAATTGAAATGGTTTAATTTTCAAAAAAATAAAAACTTTTTTACAAAACATATTTTAATTCCGTGCCTGTCTGATTTTTTAACATTTCTGTGTTTATTTTGTCATTTGATAGTTTCATATTTAATTCGTTCTTTATGTTCCTCAATATTTATAAATATGCATCTGATAAAAAACCGATTTGAAATGTCTGTATTCAAAAAATGAAATATATATAAAAAAATTAAACATTTAGAAAGGAAATGTTAATTAACCTTCCTGTTTTGATGATTTTACCTCAGCCAAAATAGTGATTTTCCAATTTAAAAGCTCAGATGTGGCAAAAGGCCGAAAGTATTTTCTCCAGATAATCGAACTCATTAAAAGTCCTAATTGTTTTAGTGAGACAATCTTACTAACCATTTATACACCCCAAAAAACCCATTCTCAGCCAATAGTCCTATTTATTATTTTTATTATAATAAAAGCATGTTGAAATTGATAAACATCATAAGAAAATTATTAAAACAATTTCAACATGTTTATAATCTTTTATATCAAAATTGAAAAATATATTTTTTACTTTATTTGAGCACCTTTTAAAAAAATAAATGCTACGAACAGTGGATTTTTATCCATATACACAATTTTCTCTCATTTAATATATAGATATATATATATATATATATATATATATTCATTATTCAAAATGATATATTCTTTGCAACTCTGGGTTTTTACACTTTTGCAATCATCTTTTTGTTTGATGAAAAAAAAATTTCTTTATATTATATATATATATATATATATATATATATATATATATATATATATATCATATATACACGATACTTATTGGTTTTTGCTTAATATCATGTGATAGTTTTAATTTGGGGTATTTTTCAGTTTATAGATATTAGTTTTGAAATCATGGCTTTTTACGATTTTGTCATCATAATTGACATCGTTTGATGATCATGAAATCCGTGAAACCCAGGTTTACAAAACTTATATCCATAATTTTTGAAATCTGAATATAAATATATATATATATATATATATATATATATATATATATATATATATATATATATTTTCGGTTTAATATTGACTATATTTATTGTTTGACGTTGAACTATGTCGCGCATACACACTTATAGTTATAACGTTTTCGATCATTTCCTTTTTTATAGAAAATGCTTCTAAAGAAGTGCCAAATTTTGTGGTTTAATGGACACTACGTACAGAGGTTCTATCAGTGACCATAGCTTGTGAAGCAGTTTTGGACGAAGCACAACATTCCCAAAGTCCGATAACTAACAGATTCCAATGATTTCGCTCCTTGAGACTTTTTGCTCTTCAGAAATCAAATCCTTCTTGGAAAGAACAAAATGTCTAGACGCCGAGGAATGCGACAAGTTAGCTACTCCCTTTCCATCAATGGATGAATTAATGCAGGCTTAAGAAGCGGAATTATTTCTTGATAGGGATTTAAAAATAAATTGATATGTATTGTAGTTTTTTTTTTATAGCACCTGTACCAATACGTTTAATTATCACACACACATATATATATATATATATATATATATATATATATATATATATATATATATATATATATATATATATCAAAATCAAAAAAATACATTTTGCATTTGTTTTGTCTTTAGACTTTTTCAAGGCAAAAATGAAATCGAAATGTTTTTGTTGTTATAGTTACATTAAAATTCAAAATTAAAAAGAAAGACGCTTGTGTCTAATATTTTTTCTGGTTAATGTAAATTACCTTTATAGTAAGGATTATTATTTTTTTATATTCATCTGGGAATTTATATATATATATATATATATATATATATGAGGAAAACTCTTTATACGAAAAGCATAAGGTATATTGTCTGCTTCGTCTGTGGCATTTATTTGCACCGATATATGTATCAATAGTTTTGAAAAGTGTGGATGGTTCTGCACAAGCCAAATTCACCACTTTAATCAAATTTATTTATGTGGGTTTTTCATGGCGGTTTATACTTGATTCGTTCTTATCCATACGGTTCAATATAAAAGGTAATTTTTGATATATTTAGTATTTGGACGGGTAGAATGGAGATCAACGTGTTTTAGTGGACTCAGCAATTTTCAATCTGCTTGTCTGAATCATATTCAAGAAGCGAGAGCAAGATCTAAAAGGTCAGCCAATCTAACAGTGATCATCTCACAATCCTCATGACTTGCTCCATATGTGGCCTCCTTTGTAAATCACTAGCGGGTCTTAAATGCCACTTAAGATTATCACACAAAATTTCATAACTGAATCAATAAGCTGTCAGATCCTCATACGTCGAAACCGATTAGGAGGGAGATTATAATATTATATATATATATATATATATATATATATATATATTATAAAAAAAAAAGAGAGATATCGAAAACGTTTTTGGTTGTAATGTTGATTTTTTAAAAAAAAATATTTTCCTTTATTTTCC